GCCCCTCCTCACGTGGGCAAGTTGTCTGTGGTTTTGCTCTTCTGTAGTTAATTAGTCCGCGCCATGCAGCCTCTTGGTGCCTCCCTTTGTTATGGTTCGAAGTGTGAGAAAAGACCACTTAAGACCGAAACTGAGCCAAATTGTGAGTCTTTATTAGCTGGCCAGCGACTGCCCCTGCACCGCCACAGACGGCTGCACAGAGAGCAGTCCCGAGCCAGAAATGCAGGGGGTTTTTGTACTGTTCTAAATTAGGGCTACGTGACATTAGGCACCTGAAGTGGAACAAGATTAATTATATCGCACATTCCATAGCTGTGGGGTCTGGGACCAGCCTCAGACCTCCTGTGCTTGCTACAATCTTTAAGCAAGCAGAATTACAGAAGCGGATAGCATCAGTTAAGTCAAGGAACGTTCTTTCATGAGTTAAGCAAGCATAGTAAAATTTACCACAGGCAGCTGGAAAGCTTAAACCATCGGTTACAAGTTAATTACTTTGTTTTTTCGTCTTTCCAAGGTACATTTTTCATTGCAGACATAGGTCAAGCAGGTCACAGGTCAACCAAGCAAGCAGGCATAAATTACCTAGTGGGCCATTACACTTTGGTCGGAAGTGAGCCCGGGTCCTGCCCTGCGTGTCTCCCTAGTTCTGGGGCCTCTGCGTATTTCCTTTTAAAGCGCAGCAGTTCTCGTGGACTGGTGAGCAGTCCGGGAGCCCAGCCTCGTCACACAGAGGACCGGTAATGGGTATGCACCCACCGTCTCCCACCGCCACCTGCCCAGAGGCCAGAGAAGCGCTGGCAGCGAGGTCTCCTCTCTGACAGTTGGACTAACTGTGAGGGCACGAGGAGACCCCGCGCTTTCCCCAGGGAGGCAGCGCACCCCCGCCCCAACTTGTCTGGGTTTCTCCTGGCATCCTTAGCTCCCCCAGTCTGGGTGACCAACAGTGGTGGAGCAAGGTTTGAGGGACAGGAGGGAGAGGGGTCTCCACCCTGGTGGGGTCTGCAAGGTGGAGACGAAGGTGGCTGCTGGCCCCTTCCTGCTTTTCTCCGTCCCCTCTTCTCTTTCGGTCCCTGTCCGTTTCTTCCTCTCCTGCTCTGAATCCGTGTTTCCCTCTCCATCTCCTCACTATTCCTCTCTGAACGGATATCCCTGATTATTCCCCTGAGGAATTCCTCTGGCACCTCCCTCCTTCCCACACTGTCCCTCCCTCTCGGTCATCCCCTTAAGTTGTGGTGAGCTGAGAGCTTTACAATAAGGGGTTAATAAATGAAATAAGCAATATGCTAGGGGCTGGCTAAATTATAGCTACATAGTTGAAGTGTTACACTGAAAGTATAGTCTTTTGTCTAATAACTGCCATCTGCTTCTGTAACCCTGCTTGCAGCTTGCTTTGAGGATTGTAATCTGCCTTCGGGCGCCAGAGATCTGTGAGGGCAACTATGCCCTGTGACCTTGTATCTTGCAACCCAGACTTCACTCCCCACTTTTGTTCCCTGAACACCTGCCCTATGTCACGTAGCCTCCCTCAAAAATAGTATAAAACCCTCGTAGAAACTTGAGATGGGGCCATCCTCTCGTACTGCTTTTATGCGGGCGGAGGTGGTCGCTGGCCAGCTAATAAAGACTCTCAATTTGGCTTCATTGAATTCTCCTGTGGTCTGTTCGCGCCCTCCACACTACAACAAAGTGACCGGGTAAATGTGTGTTGTCGAAACTCTGAGGTAGATAGCAAGGGACCCCCGAGACTCTCCTAGGGACAAAAGTGAGTGCTTTGCCTAGGTGCTGCCCTGAGCAATTGCCCCACCTGGGAAGAAGGACAAGAGTGGGCACCCCCTCTGAGTGCAGCCCCGCCTTGATCCTGCCCAGCAACTGCCACACCTGGGGGAAGGAGGAGCCCCTGCTAATCTGCAAAAGAATGCAGGGGGCCCCGTGGGCAGACCCGCAGCCAGGCACCCTGGGATTTGGAAAGTGACCTCAAGTAACCTAAGGCTAATTATCATGTCGTTCACCGACCATCGAGTGGTTCAGTGGTGACGTCTGAACCACGAGGAGGGACCCATCCAGACACTGTAAAGCAGGACCCCAGACCATAATCGGAGCCTTTTTGTTAGGACAAGAGGCCTGTTCGACACTCTGGCGAACGTAGCTCGCCCTTGCTCTGTAAACCTATCTTGTCCTTCCTCAGTAAACCATGTTTCACGCTTGCCTTGCTTTGGGTGGGTCTGGTCATTCTTAGGCCAAGAGCACACCAAGAACCGAGAACAGACAAGATTAGTGACTCCAAACGTGACGAAATCACAGGGGGGTTTCGGCCTAGGTCCAGCTGCTGCCGCACAAGGATCTGATTGTTGAGACAATGAGGATTGCCAAGGAAGAAGGGAAGTTTTACTATGACAGACACCGTGCCCTCTGGCTGGGAGAACGGGAGAAGACGCCTCAAATCTGTGTCCCGCCTGGCCTAACGGATATGGGATACTGTGGGCTGTTAAAGGAGGGGCCGTGCCTCGGGGAAGGTCAGGGTGTTTCTCACAAGGGGCAGCGTGCATTGGGGACAGGTTGTGGGGACGGTGAATCTTGGCTCACGGAGAACTTCAGAATCTCATCTCCTTTGCCTTGCAGAAGAGCCACCATTTCTGGGAAGCAAGTCAAAAGGTCAAGCAGTTTGTTAAGGGAGAGGGCCATAAAAACACACAGGGGTCATTGAAATTTGTCCCTAGAGCCGGTTACACGTGCAATTATCAAGAGGCACTGAGAATTTCCAGACTTTATGTCTGATCACTTTTCACTTAATTAAGTTCATTTATAAGTAGCTCATAATTATTTCAATAAACTATTTTTTTAAAAGTGTAAACTTCTGGTGATATCACATTGCCACCAAGTTTTTCCTAATATTTCTCCCATTTTGCATTCTAACCCTGGTAGGGGCTCATCATTGTTGATTGTATTTAAAACTTTTGGAAAAAAAATTCCCTACATTTGAAACAGCCTTTTACACAAATCAATAATGGGGTGCAAGGCAAGCACTATGGTACAGGCCTAGCTAAAAATAATGATAATAATTAGTTCTGCCCCCCTGTTTGTTTCTGTGAACTAAAATAAAATTTTAAGGCTCACCTTCCCACTGGCCGACTGCATGGACCCCTTTGTTTCCAAAGGAATAGCCTAAAACTAAATTGCCTGCCAGGAGGAAGGAGGTCAGACATGCCTTATCATGCCCCCTCCCTTCTTGGGGACATCCTTTGTAACCCATTAACGGGCCTCAGGGTATGCAAGATAAACCTGCATGTCCTCAATTTACACAACAAATCTATGTTTCTGGCTTATCTCCGATTAACTGCTCCTTATCTTAAAACATTCCAAGCCTTTAGACAAAGGTTCCTGTCTTTAACCTATTACAACTCAAAGAATCTTTAAACCCATCTATAACCTGTAGGCACCCCCACCTTCGAGATGGCCCACTTTTTCGGGCCAAACCAAAGTATGCCTCCCACGTATTGATTTATGACTTTACCTGTAACCCCTGTCTCCCTGAAATGTATAAAACCAAACTGTGACCCAGCCACAGCGAGTCCACTTGCTCAAGGCTTCTTGGGTGTGGCTCCGGGTCATGGTCCTCAAATCTGGCTGAGTAAATCTCTTTAAATTAAAATTATTTTACAGAGTTTGGCTTTTTCTTCCATTGACACTTCTCTATAATTGCCACTCCAGAGCCACACAGCTGGCGTCCAAAGATTCCTAACTTTTTCCCTAGATAACATCACCTTTTTGAAACCTAAAGATAGTTTTTAAGATGTCTTCCAGGCCCATATTCCAGGGGCTGGCTTGGTGAAAGGACGGGGGTCTTGTAGGGAAATGAATCAGCTCTCTGCTCTCTCCCTCCCTGTCCACTTGGCCAACAGGTGTCCCTCGAGCTCTGTCTTCACAACATCTCAAAGGGCCCAGCACACAAAGAGGAAATGTACGGGTTTTTGCAGTTGCTAGACCTATTGACTAAAACTGCCTCTGGCATCTGTTTCTGTAGCCTGGAGCAGCTCCTGAGAAGCTCCTGGATGACAGCAAGGGGGACAAGCTCCAGACATCAAACCCAGCTGGAAATCATGTCTTGAGGGCCCTTTATCCCTAAAGCAAAGGAAGGGATGCAGCGGCTTCACCCGGAAGATTCCATCACCTGCTCGCAGCGGAGGAGTGAAGGAGTGGGATTCACAGCAATTACTATTTTTCTCGTCCCCACAAAAGCGGCCAGCCACTTGGCCTCGCTACTGGCATCTCCCTTCTCTCTCTTTGGGTTGCCACTCTTCTCCCTGCTCTCTTCCCCGTTCTCTCTCTCTCTCTCTCTATTCTCTCTGTCCTTCTGAAGGGTGAAATAAACATTTTTACTTTTATATCTTAATCTCTGCATGAGAAATGTTTCTCCACTCGTGCCCTGAGCACCTACTAAGCACCCAGACCAGCGGCCCAGACCAAGAAATGGACTCACTGGAACTGTGACCCCAGGGACTGGGACGACACAAGAAGATGATTTCTACACCCCTACAATTTTGCCCCAATTAATGAACCTAATTGCCTAATCCCTTGCCTGCCAAACTATCCTTAAAACTCTGTCTCCACATTCTCCCGTCTCCCTGAAAGCACAGCGCCTGGCTGTGTGGCGTAGACCCTTTCCCGTGGCGGCCCGACTGCCTGGGCACACTGGCTCTGCTCTGCGCAGCCGGCCAACGCACCTGCTTGGGCGGCAACAAATTCTCTGGCAAACTACGTTTCTGTTAGAAGCAACGTCTCAGTTTTTCCCAGAAGTGTGACCAGTTTCCATATTAACTGAGTGTATAAAATGACCCTTCCGGACTGAGAATACCGCTATATTTGCAACTCCACTTACATTTGCAGAACAATTTTACATTATTGTGGTGATAACAAGGCTGCCATCCCTTTGCTGTGCAAATGTTACACATTTTAGCTCAGGAAATCCTTCGCTGGTCCAGAGATTGATCTGAATAACAAAGATGCGACGTCAAGGGCAGGCCGCCCTGGCTGGCCAAGACTCCCATGAGAACAATCCCCGCCCTCGGCACTTTCGCGGCTGCCTCGGTACCGGGCAACAGGTCCAGAAGGATGGAGCCTCTCAAAATAAAAGCCAACTTTGCTATTTGACAGTGAGATGACACTTGTGAGCTTGGGAATTCACCTCTAAAGTGTTTCTTTTCTTGTTTTCATGCTTTAATCAAAAAGACGCCGCGCCCGCCCACAGCACGTCTGCGCGCACGTGGGAACCACCGGCAAGCCCGGCTGGTGAGCGGCGCCTTCCTTGCGCACTTGGACAACGGGGCCGTTTTCAGCCCAGATTGTTTGCGGCTGCCTCGCGACAAAGGCGGAGGTGGGAAGGCCCTTGGGAGCCTTCTGGAGCCTCTTCACTGTGCAGAGGCAGGTGTCGTGTCAACCTGCCGCTGGCTCAGCGTCCCGAACATGAAATTCCCTCCCCGCGCTGAACGTTGGAAGTCCGACAGGGGGTCTCACAAGGCCAAAACCAAGGTGTTGGCACGGCCACATTCTCTCCCGGGGTCTCTGGGGCAGAATCTGTTTCCTGGCTCCCCGCTTCCAGAGCCACCTGCTTGCCTTGGCTCATGGCCCCTCGCCCATCTTCGAAGCCGGCCGGATGCTTCTCATGTCGTGTCACCAGACTCTGACCTCTTCTGCCTCGCTCTTCTGAAGTGGAAAATTCAGCTAAAGTGGAAAATTCCACTACCGGGTTTCCTCCCCTGCACCCTTTCCCTGGGCCTCCTCCCCTGCAACTCCCCCCCCCCCCACAGCTGCCACCCTCATAAATCACCTGTAGCAATTAGAGTACCAGGCTGTGAAGTAGCTCAGGACTCTGCCTCACTAAAGTTAACCCTGTTGTAGCCATGCCCCTCCCCTTAAGCAGAGTGTATAAAAGACTGCTGTGCTCTTTGGTGCTCAGAATTTGGGGAGAGCAAATTCTCCTCTGGGCCTTGCTGGCTGGCGTGGAATACAACCTGTTTTTGCCAAATCTCTGTGTGCCACTCGGTGTGTCCCCGGTCAGCTCTGCTGCAACATTTTGGTTCCCTGACTGGGAAACACCCCGATTGTGCTGGCCGTTGGGGCCACCAGCTTGGGAAGAGACATCGGCCAACCGACCCTGATGACCAGTGAGAATCCAGGTGCCTAGACCCTGGTTGAGGGCAATTTCTTCTCCGTTCAGAAGGGCTCCGCCGGCCGACGCTCTCTGGACCCACCCGGGCACTGGTGAGGTGTAGGCAACAGGCAACCAGGAATGGCCATCCGAACCATCTGAATCGCGGTAAGGTCCCGGGACCCTGTCCAAAGGAAGCCAGGCCTGTCTAAGGACGGAAGAGGAGACTGATCACCTCCTAAAGGAAAGGTTGAAATTCCGAGAGGGGGGGATGTAAAACCTCTGTCTGTCCCAGAAAGGCTAGAAATGCCCCGGGGGAGGAGGAACGTAATAGCCTTAGTGTGTGAGTGTGAGCGCTGCGGCTCCACGGCCAAAAGCTACGGAGCATGACTGGGTCTGTACCTGCATTTCTGTGGCAGCGTCGCAAGACATAACGGTGACTCACTCTCCCTGAAAAGGGAGTCACCTGGCCTGGGAATTATATGGGAGCACCTTTAGCCAAGACCTGCCTAAAATCCCCGCAAGTGGAGCAGCCAGGCGGACAACTGAAAGTACCCCACCCTTTTGTGCAACTCTGACCAGTAGGAACACTATGGGGGGACTGAGTCCAAACCAACCGCACTCAGGTGCATGATCAAAAATTTTAAGAAGGGATTTTTCTGGCGACTGTGGAGTTAAAATGACACGGAATCGCCTCCAGACACTCTGCGAAGTAGAATGGCCATCCTTTGGAGTAGGTGGCCTTATTCGGGCACCCCTGACACTTCTATTACCCAGGCAGTCTGGAAACAAGTTACAAACACCCCAGGACACCCAGATCAGTTCCCCTATATCGATTCCTGGCTAGGAATTGCCCAAACTCTGCCCCCTTGGGTCTGGTTCTGTGTAGAGAAGGGACAGAGCAGGGTACTCTCCGCCCAGCGGCTGTGGAGGCCCCTTTGATCCCAGCCCCAAGCCCCTTCACCAAGGGCCGCTGCAAGATGAATTCCCCTTCACTGTCTCCGTTCTGCCCGCAACCCGACTCTATCCCTTCAATTGCCTGTCCGTGGCCGCTGCCTGTGCCCGCATCCCGCCCCTTGCACCTTGCGCAAGCTTCTGCCCCAGCGCCTGTGGCAGGCTGAGGGCCGTCACTGGCCAGGACCTGGCAGGAGCGAGCGCCCACAGAGCCGGGCAGGGCTGAGGACGGCGCCTTTTATCCCCAGAGCCCCCTGGAAGCTGTGGCGGGCACGCGGAGGCGGCGGGCAACCCCGACATGGAAGAGCCAATGCACCGAGCCGGCATGGGCCGCAGGCGTGGCGCAGGGGTGCTGCCGCTGGGCCATCCCGGGCGTGCTGCTGGCACTGACAGCCGGGCTCCTGACCAGGGGCTTGGCCAGCGAGTACGACTACGTGAGCTTCCAGTCAGACTTCAGCTCGTACCTGAGTGGCCGCTTCTACGCCAAGCCACCGCAGTGCGTGGACATCCCAGCAGACCTGCGGCTGTGCCACAACGTGGGCTACGAGAGGATGCTGCTGCCCAACGTCCTGAAGCACGAGACCATGGCCGAGGTGAAGCAGCAGGCCAGCAGCTGGGTGCCCCTGCTTAACAAGAATTGCCACGTGGGCACGCAGGTCTTCCTCTGCTCACTCTTCACGCCCGTCTGCCTCAACCTGCCCATCTACCCATGCTGCTGGCTCTGCGAGGCCGTGCGCAACTCTTGCGAGCCCGTCATGCAGTTTCTCCAGCTTCTGCTGGCCCGAGATGCTCAAGTGCGACAAGTTCCCCGAGGAGGACGTCTGCATTGCCATGACCCCACCCGATGCCACTGAAGCCTGAAAAGCTAGAAGATTTTGCAGGAATGAACATCACTCAACTGATAGAGGTGGCCCAAAAGTTGTACCGGAATCAAGATTGTGTGGCCCAGAGGGAAAGTGAAACAAAGATGAAGCATAAGGCCACCCTCCTGGCAGTGGCACTCGGGGCTCCTATGTCTACCCCAGGGCTCGGTACAAAACCTGAGAGGGGGCCCCACAGGAAGGGGACACTAAGACCGGACCAGTGCGCATACTGCAAAGAGACAGGACATTGGAGAAAACGAGTGCCCACACCGAAAGACTGGCTCCCCCCTCAAGATGAGGCCCTCCTCGGTGGTTCCAGATAAAACCGGAGACCCAGGACCTAATTGGCCTCACAGGCGTGAACTCCAAATAAGACCGACCGTGCTCCCTCAACCTTGGCCCCCGGGAGCCCATGGTCACTGTGGACGTGGGGGGCCGACCTGTAACCTTCATGGTGGACACAGGGGCTGAGCACTCAGCGGTGACCACCCAAATCGCCCCTCTCACAGGGTGGGAGACAACCATAGTTGGATCCACTGGAGACCAGGTAGCCAGGCCTTTCTGCCAGCCCTGCTGCTGTCAGCTTGGGGGACATCGGGCAACACACGAGTTTCTCTACCTCCCAGACTGTCCAGTTCCCTTGTTGGGACGGGACCTCCTGCACAAGTTGGAGGCCCAAATCACTTTCCACCCCGAAGGTACAGCTGACCTCTCACTGTCAACCCTGAAGCCCATGATAATGGCAGTCATAGTTCCCAGAGAAACGGAATGGCAAATTTATTCTGGCCCCTGGGCCAAGCTTCACGGCAAAGATCATGCAGACTTTAACTGAGCATTAGGGGTCAAGTGAAAACTCCATACCGCATACAGACCCCAAAGTTCAGGGAAAGTAGAGTGCATGAACCGGACCCTTAAAAACACGCTTGCAAAGTTATGCCAAGAGACAGGGTTACCTTGGGTAGACTTACTTAGTCTAGCATCGCTTACAGTCAGGGGCACTCCAGGGCCGACAGGATATTCACCCTTTGAAATTTTTATTATACACACTCAGTTTATTTTCCTATCCAAAACCCTGAGTCAAGTTCATCACAATGTTCTAGAAAAGATCCCTACAGCAATGGGACACCCAGTCTACACACACCAGCCTGGAGACTCAGTCTGGGTTAAAGACTGAAAGAAAACACCACTAGAGCCCACCTGGACAGGCCCCCACACTGTAGTCTTAATCACACCCACTGCTGTTAAAGTTGCAGGAATAGCATCCTGGATTCATCACACGAAAATAAAGAAGGCCACACCTGAGAAGAACCGGGACACCTGGACAGTACAACATGACCCAGAGGACCCACCGAGAATCCACCTCCAGTGTGGCAGCCCAGCAACCATGCCAGAGGACACCCAAGCCGAATGACCGAGCCGGCCTGTTACATCGCCATCGGCCTGTTTGGACTATTGACCTTACTACTGGGCATTGGACTTTACTCAGTGGCCCCAGAGGACTGGGGACCAGGGGAAAGACTGTTATTAGTCATCTTATATTGGGCTGTGGTGGGGTTTCCTTTTCTGGTTACAATGTTGTTCCCCATTCTAATCCTTGTCTGTCTCCCACTTACAGTTGTCAGTAGCCCTCTCCGTTGCCCTCCAGGATGTATGCAGGATGTCTGGGGATGTAGATGATTTTCACCCTGTTACAGAGCCAAAGGGTTTTGGGCTTACACCAGTCTTAAGGGAGATTGTTACATAGACCCATAGATCTGCACTTGGGGGCGGGGGTGGGGGGTGGGTAGAAGATATTGGACAGATACTACAACAAGAGATGGGTTCAGACCAGACAAAAATAACAGGCCAGAAAAGGGTTCCAGGGTCTGCTGGACATATGTTCCTGGGCTCCTCACTGGAACCCGAAACATAGAAAGTACAGAGCATATGTCAAAGCCAGCTTCAAAGCCCCAGGATACGGCTTCACAACTTCCAGATCCCCCGAGTATAGTGAGGCCAATTTCAGAGCCCCTGGATACTACTCCCCAGATAGCCAAGGTTCTCAACACCACCCTGAATGCTTTGCCTAATCACACCCAATGTTGGATTTGTCTGCCCCTCCAAAGGCGTGTATACCTCGGGGTCCCTGTCCCCTCGGGTTGGAGCAGTTCTGTCAATTCCACCATTAACCCCAGCAAGACACACCTAATTGGACCAGTGGCATATAATGTCCGTCTGGCTAGAACGTTCAACGTTACCTGTCTCGTCAACCTGAAAGGAAGTGAACCTATAAGGACTCTGCCAGTCAGTCTATGCAGTAACAACCAAACTCTCAACTCTGGTATACACTGTCCAAGAGAGGGCGTGTTCTTCCTTTGTGGTAACACTGCTTACCTTTGCCTCCCAGTCAACTGGACTGGGGTCTGCACCCAGATTTTCCTCACCCCAGACATCACTATATACACCACTCCTCAAATGGAGGTTTTAAGCCCCCACCCAGGTGTCCGGGAAAAGCGAGCGGCAGCTTTACTCATAGCACTCCTCGTGGGAGGAGGCATCATAGCTGGGGTAGGGGCTGGACTTGGTGGATTAGGGACTTCGCTACATGTCTACCAAAAGCTATCTCAAGAACTAAACGAAGACATACAACAGGTAGCAGATTCCCTAATAACCCTCCAAAACCAACTAGACTCTTTGGCAGTGGTTACACTTCAGAACAGGCGAGCCCTAGACCTCCTCACTGCGGAAAAGGGAGGGACCTGTGTATTCCTAGGAGAAGAATGTTGCTACTATGTAAACCAGTCCGGAATAGTGACAGCTAAGGTAAAAGAATTATAAGAAAGAGTTCAGAGGAGAAATAGTGAACTAAAACAAACTTGGGGGCTCAATCTGGGCCAATGGACTTCATGGCTATTGCCCCTGGCAGGACCTTTAATGGCTATTTTTCTCCTTGTCACTATAGGCCCATGCCTATTAAGCACAATTATAAAATTTATAGAAACAACTGTAACTCAAAAGGCAACAGCCCATATAATGGCCTTACGAGGCTATGCCCCCTTAAAGGATGATGCCCTATAATAGACACATGAGGACGAATGTCTCATGATATATATATATATATATATAGGGGTATCGAAGGGGTGGAATGAAGTGGAAAATTGGAAAATTCCACTACAGTGGAAAATTCCACTACCGGGTTTCCTCCCCTGCACCCTTTCCCTGGGCCTCCTCCCCTGCAACTCCCCCCCCAACACAGCTGCCGCCCTCATAAATCACCTGCAGCAATTAGAGTACCAGGCCCTGAAGTAGCTTAGGACTCTGCCCCACTAAAGTTAACCCTGTTGTAACCGAGCCCCTCCTCCTGAAGCAGAGTGTATAAAAGACTGCTGTGCTCTTTGGTGCTCAGAATTTGGGGAGAGCAAACCCCCCTCTGGGCCTTGCCGGCCGGCGTGGGATAAAACTTGTTTTTGCCAAATCTGCGTGTGCCGCTTGGTGTGTTCCCGTCAGCTCCGCTGCAACACTTCCACTCCAAGAACAACAGTGATGAAGGCCTTCAGGCACTGCTGCCCCCAGACATGTAGCTTTGGTATGCGAATCACTTTCAACTGAGGGCACCAGGAACAGAGCAAATGCAAGTTGTGGCTTTCTCTGAGCTGCTTGAAGACAGACCTCACCTGTCAGGAATTGCCTCCCTGGGAATCTTATCAACCCGAGATTGACCCATTTACACCACACCCAGACAGACTGTCACCCGCTCTTCTGAGGGCTGCTTTTATTATCTGTGGGGCATTTATCTTCATAATAAGACACCTTTGGTCACCACACACTTCCCCCCTCACCCTCCCAAACTTGTGTGCCCTCCCCACCAATCCCCAAGGGCCTCTTCCTGCCTGTCGCTCAGGATCCTACCTGTATGCGCTTCAATCCTCTGACTCTTCTTGGAGTGTCATGTTTTGTGGGACTCCCATGCTCATGTGTGCAATGAAAATGGTTTATTTTTTTCTGTTAATCTGCTTTATGTGAATTTAATTTGTAGCCTAGTCAAAGAACCCAGAGGGTGGAGGGAAGCCATTTTCCCTCCCTGCTGTAATTACATTGGTCTGATCTGACCTGGATAACCCAGGATAATCTCCTTATCATAAATTCAACTGCTAATCAATTGAATAGCAAACTGAGCTCTCCTTTGCCACGTGATGTAACGTACTCACAGAGTCCAGGGATTCTGTGGGGCCGTCTTTAGGGAGAGCCTCCCTATTCTGCCTACCATAGCATGCCCTCCGCCCTCCTCAGATACAAATCTATCCTATATGCAAAATACATTCATACCATCACAGGGTCCCCCAAATTCTCAAACCCAAAGCCCAAAATCCTACCTAAGTCTTATCAGTTCAAAAGTCCCAAATCTCATAATCTAAATTAAGTATGGGGCCTGGGCACGGTGGCTCACGCCTGTAATCCTAGCACTCTGGGAGGCTGAGATGGGAGGATCCCTTGAGCTTAGGAATTTGAGACCAGCCTGAGTAAGAGCAAGACCCTGTCTCTACTAAAAATAGAAAAAAAATTAGCCAGGCAACTAAAAATAGAAAAAATTAGCCGGACATGGTGGTGCATGCCTGTAGTCCCAGCTACTCCGGAGGCTGAGGCAGGAGGATTTCTTGAGCCCAGAAGTTGGAGGTTGCTGTGAGCCAGGCTAATGCCATGGCACTCTAGCTTGGATGACAGAGCAAGACTCTGTCTCAAAAAAATAAAATAAAATAAAATAAAATAAATTAAGTATGTGTGAAGCTATGCCTACAATTCATCCTGGCACAATGGCTCTTCAATTGTGGACATGCAAAACTCAAGAAAAAAGTTATCTGCTCCTAAAATACAATGGTGGGATACGCATAGGATAGCAGATACAGATATTCTCATTCAAAAGGGGAGAAAATAGAAGGAAAAATGAGTTACCAGTTCCAAGCAATTTCGAAATCCAGCCTGGCATACTCCATTGGGTTTCAAGGTCTGGAGACACTTGTC